TTTCTGCACTTTTTCCAATGCTATAATATCCTTTTTGAGGTGTGGTGACCAGAACTGCACACAGTGCTCCAAATGAGGTTGCACCATTATGATACTGGCTGATTTGTTTTCAATTCCCTCATACGTGGTTCGTTCTCCTCTGTTTTAAGTTCTGAAAGGAGACTGCGGCCCATGTACAGCCTTCTCAGTGGGCTTTTTTTGGGGGGGGTACACTGTATATATGGACAGAGGGCTCTTTTCCTCCCTCTTAACCTTGAGTGCACATCGAGCTGTCTTATACGGTATTCATACCTTTGGTCTATCAAAGTCAGCATTGTCTACACACGGAGTGGCAGCAGCCCTCCCAAGATCTCCGGTAGCTCTCCAGGGTCTCCGGCAGAGGTCTTTCACATTACCTGCTACCCAGTCCGTTTTTTTTTTTTGCTGGCAATGCTGGGAGTTGAACCTGGGACCTTGTGTGCGCCACTGCTCCTCTGAGCCACAGCCCACACTGACCTCTAAGCTGCAAGTGGAGGAGCACCCCATGAATAATTGCTTCCAGGGCTCATTGAAGTCAAAATCTCCTTGGCCTGTTTGTGACCTCCTTTAAATTTCCTCCTGCAGTGTGTTGTGTGGAACCGGCAGGGGAGGGGCGTGTGATGCAAAGCCAGTGGATCTTGCAGTGTAGTTCAAAGTTACCTTCCTCGATCGTTAGTCTCACGGGCTTATCTTCCCATCCCATGTAGCTAGTTCAGGCATTGTACATAGTACAAATGTCCAACTAGCATGGCACTGGGAGCCCAGGTGGACAACCCTGAGCTTTCCCAGTGGTTTGGCTTCCTGGGATTGTGCTTTCTCTTTAAGAGTATGTCCCTGGTAAATCACTGGCTCTCATTTTGTCTTCTCAAAATGCCTTATTTAAAAAAACCTCACTGGGGTGAGAAATTGCCATTCTTCAGGCTTTGGCTCTTTCCCGTCAATCGGTAAATCTCTTGAATCATAGAACAGATGCGCCTTGTAATCAGAGCACATGTTATACGTGCATGGACACTTAAGGCACCATGTATTTCTCCGCAATTGGAGCTGCGGTGGCTCAAGTGGTTAAGACGCTGAACTGCAGGCTATGGAAGGTCAGTAGTTCAGCAGTTCGAGACCCGAGTGTGCCGCATGACGGAGTGAGCTCCCGTCTCTAGTTCCAGCTCCTGCCAACCTAGCAATTTGAAAGCAAGAAATTGCAAGTAGATAAATAGGGACCACTTCAGTGGGAAGGTAACAGCGTTCCATGCGCCTCGGTGTTTAGTCATGCCGGCCACATGACCACGGAAACGTCTTCGGACAGCGCTGGTTCTTTGGCTTTGAAATGGAGATGAGCACCGCAACACTAGGGTCGGACTCGACTAGCTTTCGAGCAAGGGATCCTTTACCTTTACCTTTTTTCTCCCCAATGGGGACCCAAAGTAGCTGACATAGTTCTCCTACTCCTCCGTTTTGTCCTCACAGCAACCCCGTGAGGTGGGTCAGGCTGAGAGCGTGTGACTGGCCCAAGGTCACCCAGCGAGCTTCCATGGCACAAGTGGGGCTTCAGACCTGGGTCTCTCAGATACTAGTTCAACACTCTTAGCCACTGCACCACACTGCCTCTCACCCTGTTGTTTCATTCATCGCAGCTGGTGAGGTTGATCTGGAACGATCAATAACCTCGTAGGCCGAGTATGGTGGAAGGGAGGCTGGTCTCATTGTTCTTTGACCGTAGAAGGTTAGGATTGGAAGGGAGCTTTGATGGTCATCTGGTCTTCCCCCTCTGGTTCAGTGCAGGAATACGCAACAAACACCCTCTTGTGCTTTTCTGCATCAGCGGACAGCAGGCTAGTCCACCACGAATGAACGCAGCAGGCAGAGCCTTCAGCAGCACCCTTGGGGGGTGACCCTCCGGTACGAGGAAAGGGGTGTTGTGCGGAACCCCCCCCCCTTTCTCTGACCTGTATTGGAAGGAACAGCCTCGCCTTCCTCAGAACTGGAGTTAAAACGGAGCGCTTTGTTCCGTTCACTGCCGACCTTTCTTGTGTGCCCTTTCTCCCTCAAGTTCCTTGTTCCTTTTTTTTTTTTTACAATATTTTTTTATTGATGCAAGAAATTATGATTACAAAACTATGCATCAACGTGAATAGGTGCAACAAAACATTTGCAAGTGATGTTAAAGTACATAAGAATAAACAAATATACTTTGAAAGTGGTGAGTTACGTAAGTTTCAACTACTATTATGAGGTAATAGAAAATCCTTCGTCGTGATTTAAATTCCTTCACAATGAACGACAGTAGAAATAAGCAAACAGTAGCATGTAGTAATAGTGGTTTTTGAGCCAGATCTATTTCCTTGGGGGTATCTTCATACTGCTGTAAGTATTCTAGTATAGGAAACCATACGGGTACAAAGGAGGGAGAAGTAGGAATCTTGTCAAAAGTTCCCTGTTTCTAAACGGACTCTTGTGTGTGATTGGCAGGACGCAGGCGGAGAGAGGGAGAAGGCCGCGGTGCTGCAGGGGGCCGCAGGGGCTCTTGCCCCGCTATTCCGAGAGCCAGGCAGAAGGGCAGGAGCAGCTCTTCAAGCTGACCGATAACATCCAGGACGAGTTGTAAGTACCCGCGTGCTCCCTTCGTTAAGGTGTTTGGTGTATATTGCGCGGGTCCCAGGTGGTAGAAGACCAGGCGGGAAAAGAGCCCTCCTTTGGCACCACACTATCTCTCCCCGGAAGCCGCTACAGTCGCCTCCTTGCCGGATGACTTTTCCCTTTCTTTTGAAAGCCGCTGGCAAGCAAGACTCAACAGGTCACGGCGCCACTGTTGTGACTCCCGTCGGCTTTAGCAGTTCCTGCTCGCTTGTTCCGCTCTTGGGTCACCTTGGCCTGTTTATCTGGCCCTTCTTTCTCTTTTTGTTTTTTTCTCCCCCCTAATATGAAAACAGATGGAGAGAATTTAGTTCCCAGGTTGCGCTCCCATCTCTTTGACTTGTTTTTAGGCCTAATGCAGAGGAAGGCAATGGCAAACCACCTCTGTTAGCCTCTCGCCTTGAAAACGTACGCGGTTGCCATGGATCCGCTGCAATTTGATGACACCACATAAGAACATAAGAGAAGCCAATGCTGGATCAAGCCACTGGTCCATCCAGCCCATCACACAGTGGCCAAAAAATACCAGGTGCCATCAGGAGGTCCAGCAGTGGGGCCAGGACACTAGAAGCCCTCCCCCTGTTGTCCCCCCCTCCCAAGCATCAAGAATACAGTGCATCACTTGCCCCGAACCGAGAGTTCCTATCTATACCTTGTGGCTAATAGCCACTGATGGACTTCTGGTCCATATGTTGATCCAATTCCCTCTTGAAGCCGTCCATGCTTATAGCCTCCACCACCTCCTGTGGCAATGAATTCCATGTGTTAATAACTCACGTATATACATACATAGTTTTTCACACCCTAACGTTCCCACCCCGTATCTCAGTTCCTAGTCTTGCATTGTTTATTTACGTACTTAATTCATTTGTACCCCGCCTCTCTCCCCAGTGGATGCCCAAAGCATGTTACACCATTCTCCTCTCCTCTGTTTTATCCTCACAACAACCCTGTGAGGTAGGTTAGGCTGAGAGGGTATGACTGGCCCGAGGTCACCCAGCGAGCTTCCATGGGACTTGCGGGGACTCGAACCCCAGTGCAAAACCTCTCCGGCCATGCTCCAAGATCCACTCTTAAAATTATGACCTCTAACATACACACACATCCCACACACAAAATCCCAGCAGTGGTACTGACACACACCCTCCTTTCTGAAGGTAGCCCTCACTCTCCGGAAGCGCAGGCTTTCTCCATCGACGTTGCTCCAAATTTTAGCCGGTGTGAATGAAACTGATTCCTATCTATCGTGTTTCCATCCTGTCTTTCCTCTGAGGCACTCGGCAGAAGAGATGCTTCTCCCCCTCCTCCCTTTTAGCCTCACAACAATCCTGCGAGGTAGGTGAGCTGAGAGTGTGTGACAGCCCAGGCTGGCCCACCAAGCTTCACAGCAGTGTGAGGATTTGAACCAGGTCCTCCCCACCACCACCACCCCCGATCCTCTTCCAGCCCCTCCAACCACTCCTGGTCCCTGTCGTGGGAAACAGGCCACAAACATGAGGCCTCTTGATTTTTATCCCACTATTGTGATTTTTTTTAGGAATGACTGAAAGGGCTTAACGGTTTGCATATTTTCTCCAGAGTTAAATCCATAAAAGCGGGCTTCTAATGCCTCGCTCTACTGTTCTGGTTAAACGTTTCCACATTTTTTTCCAGCGAGACCCACTGTTTCACTTCTGGAAAATGTTGTTGTGTAATTAAATTACTTCCTGATGGTTGAGGGGTTTTGGGGGG